CCAGACGTCCAGCCATAACCGGGGAGGGAAGGCGCAATGATATGGAATGACAGGTATTTCGGTTGCTGAAGGATAGGAATGATGTCAAGGAAATCGATGATCGATCCTAAAGACCTGCTTTAAATAATACCCAGCAACACACATAGGCAATGTTACGTACCTGCAGGCCATCCGTGCAACAAAACCAGGGGAACAGCATTTGCGTCGTGGGAGAAGGCCCCAATGAAATGGACATGATAAATAGTCTATCTATAAATTGATACGCTTCTCCTAAGTAAGTGATATCTCCACGTTTGTTCATTTGGAGTGGGAGGGCTCGTCTCACCAATCGAAGTCGAATAACCAAGTTTCCTTGGCATTCTTAATTTAGTGGTTGGATATACCAAGTCCAGCTTCTGGATGGGTGCCCTCGTACGTGGTGGGAGAAAGAAAACTTAATGAGCGTCTTCATGTCATCCAACACATGCTCAGACATTTCGATCGTGATTCCAAGAGTATCTATTCATTTCGGTGCTTGCGCGCCGAAAGCTTGGCCATTCAGTTTGAGGGGAACCTTGCGTCAGAGTTCTTTATCGTTGCACTGGGTCGTGTCCTCAATTCAGAAGTCTCGGCGCAAGCCGACACGCTACATCTCCCTTGAGCCACTTCTGCATGAAGACAAGCGTGCATCAAATATCAAATTACATACATATGTATATGGATCTGCAGAACGAAAAGTCCGTTTTTGTTGATCAGGCACGTAGGGTGCAACAGCCGCGACATCCACTGTTCACCTTACTTATAGTATGTAATCGCTGAGAAAGGTGTCGTATGTCATCGCTTCCGTAGTAACAACGCGACATAGAACAACACGCGATAAATGACCGCGATCAGAATCATAATCCCCGCGTACAACCCAATACTGAATCCTCCAATACCAAGGTTCTGAAAAACAAAAAAGTCATGATCAACGTTTCGAGCGCCCAATGGGAGGGAGAGAATGAAATCCACAACTTACATCCAAAACATCCTCGCCAGTCAGTGCGCACTGCCCAGAGGCAACGAGTGAACTAGGATATGAGCATTGACATCCTCCGTTGTCAAGTCTTGTGCATTGGAAGACCAGTCCCGTCAAATCATTCCGCACTAGCAGGTTAAACGCGAATGTCTATTTTAAAAAAGATCCCCTTTCAGATCCCTACACCCCAGGCGAGCAAATCAGCCAAGAACAAACCTGATAATCAATCCAATGTGCCCAATAATACCAGAACCTCGGCAAGCTGACAGCACGGATGAAATACCCTTGGACGCACTGAATCGCAATCAGAAACTTTGTTGCCTTCAAAGTTGAAAGAACCCACCATCCAAAACCCATTCATGAATGACGCGATAGCCAGCGCCGCCACGAATATAGGGATGACAGCAGCAACGAAAACGGACTGTGCCTCGGCATTGTAAACTCCCAGGAAGAGAAACGATAAGAAACGGAAGAAAGCGGTCGCTCCCGGACGCAAGCCGATGGCCCAGTAACTTTGTCATCAAAACATAAAATCAGCATTGTCTCGCAGAGAGTTTGGGCGTGGTGTGCTAACCAGATGACAGCAAAAAGAACCGAACAACTGAAGAGAAATGGTATTGTCACGAGTGAATTGGCAATGACGTATGCGCCTGGACCGTAAAGCCCATTGTTCCTCCTAGAAATGGAATGATCAAGTCCCATATCCCTTCAACTCCCGAGGGGAACTCACTCTCGAACAAACACGGCTCGCTCTTCAAGGAAAGATGGAATGCCCGCCACACTGTGGGGATGGGGTGCCAAAAAAATAACAAGAATTAAAAAGTCAAGCGGACAGTGAGTAAATTAAATTCACCTCATGAAACCAAGGAATGCAACGGAGAAGAAATGGACCTAATGTTTGTGATGATAAGGTTGAGAGAACCTAGTTGACAACGGGATACATACCGAAAGCCTATCATTAATCTTAGTGTCCTTCGTGCCAAGATTGATCCAAATAGTAGCCAGAAGCAAACCTATACCGGCTTGGTGAACCAAAGTAATCCCATGTCAAAACTACCCGTTTCGAAGGAGAGAGCGATGACGCGTACCATACATTCCAACACGAATTCCATACGCCAGCAAATTCCGCCTATAATTAAGCACGCTCCTCTCCATGAGAATCCCCGTCCGATATACCGACAAATTCAGTGCATTCCCAAGACCCCTTCCCCCACTCCCCACACGAATTGATAACGCCATTGGTAGGACGCGTTCCGGAAGTTGAGGTTCCTCGCTACCAACGGTTTCCCCTGTGGCATTTCCGTGCTCTCCTTCCGCCGGAGTAGGCAAAGAAGCAATGAATGCAGCTCCTCTCTCAGACCAAGAATCTGCAAGATACTGCACCCGTCTCTCATGATCTTCCTGTGACAAAGCACCAGGTTGGGTAAGGGGAACGTCTGGAGTAGGACGAACTTCAATCTCCTGTCCTGAGGGTGGACTTGTGGTGGTGACTGAGTGTGAGAAGTCGACATTAATGAGACTGATAACGTGGTCTGCGGGATTTGAGTGTGGCGGACAAGGATGGCCAACTTGGGAGAAGTATGGAATAACTCCGCCTTGTTTCCAATGAGTGTGTATAATTGCGCCGGGGGGGAGGTAGGGGATAACAACTCACTTATCGGACCGTGGTAAACGCACTTTCCTCTTGCGAGAAATAGGACTTCGTCAAATAGCGAAAATGTCTCCCAGTTCGGTTGATGAATGGTCGCAATAACGATCGTATTCGTTTTCCGAGCCAGCTTCTTCACTATTGGGACGAACGGTTCGTCAGAAAGTTATACGTACTCAAAGACCGAAATGATATAGTTTTTATTTCAAACTGGAATGCATACTCAACTTGACTGAACTACACCCCAACCACCCGTACTATCCAGCCCACTGGTAGGCTCGTCCAGCACCAATACTTTGGGACGTGATACAACGCTGCATGCGATCGTAACTCTACGCTTTTCGCCACCCGAGATACCTCGCTGAATGGGGGTCCCGATTCGGTTATTTCGTACTGAAGTTAAACCTAGCGAAGTTAATGTGTCTGAGACCAATTGTGATATGGCGGGTCTGGGCGCTGAAGGGGGAAGACTGGTATGAAGAAGTTTGTGGATTGAGTGATTAGAACGCGATGCACTATCGGACGGATGAACGGCGGCCCACCTTAGCCGGGCTGCATAGTCCACCGTCTCATGGACAGTGAGAACACCTATGAGAGCATCTTCCTGCTCCACGTATGAACCTATATCTCTCATTTTAAAATCGGCAGTCCCATCGAATAAAATCTGAAAATGAACGTCATCATTGACCAATGAATCGCACATGTGTGAACTCCTCAGCTTACCGAGGCATTCTGATCTGAAGGCTGGACACGTTGGCTGATGAGATCCAGAAACGTAGACTTCCCTGCCCCAGAGGGACCCATCACTATGATTGCCGATGAATGAGTGGTCTCTCTTACTTGGTTCAACAAGGAAACCCACCGGCCAACAATTTTCCCGACTTCAAAGAGCCGCTTTGTGGAGACAAGATCATCTTGAGGGCTTTTTTGTCGGTCCCGTTGATGGCAGGGGCATTGACTGATAGTGATAAGTTCTTCCACTCCAGTATATGCGACGTATTAGCTTTCTCTGCTAATGTTTGAGACTACGAAACACACAGTATGTAGACCAAAAGATCAGCAAACTATCCTCAGGCCAACCATGTTGGATTTTTCCAGACTGGAAAGGCTCGATCGGCAAGATTCACCTCGACATCCATATTAGTGCTCATGTCAGCTACAACAAGCTCGATATGACTGGGGAATTGCTAGGAAGAGGAAGAGGAATGATAGGTTTGGAGACCTTCAACACGGGTATTGGGATATAAGAGGCTCAAGGGCAGGTATGAAATATGCGATTTCGGCTTTTTTTGGTAAAGGCACCGCTAAGCACCGCAAGTTACCCAGTTACTACGAGCGGCAAGTTTTTTTTGGCGACAAAAGTGGCCGCAGCCCTGATACGCTTTATATCGCTGCTAGAGGAAACTCTGGCGATTCCACTAGGGCAGGAGAAAGTTTCCTAGAGGTGATGCAGAGGGAGAGATTACACATATTGACTGACGACTGTGACGTTGCAAGAAGACTCGGCTGAATTGGATGGCCATCGTGGGAACAGCCGCACGGTCACACACTCTTGCAACCGCACGAATGCAACACAGGCGACAGACATGCAGTGGTAGCTTTTTTTTTGAAGCACATTCTGGTTATCGTTCTCGTTTTACAGTGTCTCGCCATGAATTCAGTAGGGGCAGCTCAATCCGTGCGCAGAACCACCAACAAACTCCCTCTCCCAAATGTTGCCTTGAATTTCCCAGCTTCTTTCGGGCTCACAAGCCCCTTGTTCCCCTGAACGGGCGATCGAGAAGTACAAAACCGTTTGAGTTGTTTGACGAGCCCGTGGGTTATGTGCAACACTCAGAGTGAACTCCTCCATCAGTTGACGCACCCGCCATGAATCAGGCACGGCTTTAACCGGAATCCTGCGGTTAGGCAACAGCAATCTAACATCCGATTTGGTCAACCCCAAAGCCAGGTTTCGAACGCTCCTACAGGCTACTGAAAAATCCTCCCCCCACTTTTGACTCCCTCATCCCGGGCCGCCACAATCTGAGTTGAAGTCGACGGACCTAAGTCCAAGGGGCAACTACCCGAATGTTTTGGTCGGGTTTAGTGGGGGAGCTCTGCTGGGATAGCTGCACTATATAATACCTTACCATGGGTTTTGTGCGTATGCGGAAACTCGCAATGGCAGAGAACAGAATTCCTAACAGTCGTGGAGGGTGCCCCCCAAAACGACATGAAGGACATTACATGAGTGACGCCTGCCGCGCACGGGGGTGGATTTTGAGATGGACATTGACTCATGCATTGGAAGGTGTAAGTTTATCGACTACGTGCCATTGCTTCAATAACAAATCCACCTTCCTTTCCTGCTAGACCCAAATCCTCAACCAAAACACAAGCTACAACCCAGAGTGGTCTGCCTCCACAGGAACCGCGAGGAGGGTGACGAGCCGCATGTCAATCATCATGTCCTTGGGCTGAATATCGTGAGACCGGGGATCCAGGCGACAGAGGAGCATGCCCGTGGTTTGTCTCCATTACCACGGGCAACACGGAACGTCCCTGCGAGTGGACAGCAGGGCTTCCGTCTGAACTCATCCTTTTGAAGATCCACATCGCAACAACTGCAACCAGGCCAAGGGCAATCACACCTCCAATTACGCCTCCGACAGTCACACCGATGTTCGAGCCCCTGCTCCCATGTGCACCATTGGAAGCTGTGGAAGTGCTTGATGCGGTGCTACTGAGTAAAAACACTCGAGAGCTTTCGGGTCTATCTAATAGTCAAGTCAAACGATCCCGTGAATACGCGATGAGTGTTCCGAGAATGAAAACGCACCACTGATTGTCTTCGCTGCATCCAAGTTGAAGCTAAGGATCACGGGGAAAGCGAGCTATCAGGATGTGAATTCTGATCAGAAGTATATAGCGAACTGACAGTCCAGCAAAGTCGGAGGGCTTCATGTAGGCCCATCGAGGTATAAGGGTTCCGGTGGGTATCAGCGATGGTTGGTATTCACCCTCTGCATTCGCAATGCCAGCGCAATAATGTCCCCAGAGGGGATACCTATATTACCTGTTAGACATGGAAGAGTAAGTAAACACGATCCACATACGACGTGTATGAGCGGTTCTGACATGCTCCACAAGCTGCCATCAGCTGGTATACCACGGAAGAACACAGGCCTATGGGTGAGTTTTAGAATCCAAGCCACTGCCGGCGCCGGAGCACACACAAGCATTTGGGAAGTAACCCGATGAACTTAGCGACGGGCCTTTGTCCCTCAGTGAGCTCAAGGCTACGTAAATCGGAATTTGCGCATACCGATGTATTCCCCTCCCGGAGGGAGCGGACCCACGAGCCATTTCCCTGATGAAGTCATCAAAGCTCTTGTCAGCGCAGAAAAATGATGTGTATTATGTAACGGAAACCCCACCTCCAGCACCTACTGCAATAAGTTCCGAGCCGACTTTGCAAGGAGATTTTCTAGTCATTGAATCGTAAGCGCTGCAGCTGATACGTGCCACCATCGGCTTACCCTTGGGAATTGAAAGCCTAAAGAAATAGGAAAGAGGATCAGTTGCGCAACTCAGCGAACGATGCAGGCCTCTATGTTATTCACCCACTGAAAGTCATGGGGACAAGTCACATTGGCCTACGGGGCACCCAACAATCCCAGGGGGTCCACGCGCTTAGCTTTCCTCAAAGGCTTAAAAAAACAGCCGCCTCCCAGAGGCACGCACCTCTTGAGCCGAGACCTTGTCGACCCCTAAACCTAGGAAGAGCTCGAAGAGACAAGCTTGGCGGATAATCAAGGTAGTTACAAGAGATCCAGTGAACCCTTTTACATTTTGTGACTGGAAAGACGGCATTCTTTGCGTGATTGGCACAGTTCGATCCAAGCTCAGAGCAGTAGGCGACCAGCCTCTTTTTAACGGGTCAGAGCAGGAGGTCGAGGGAAAACTGCGTTTGCATAGGCAGGATACCACCCTCTGCAGATGAGGCTGGGCACCCCTTCCAACATTTCAAATCGCATTAAGGAACGGATTCTCACATAATCAATATAAAAGCGTAATACCTGTCACCGACTCGAGTAACAGTGACTCATCACCATCCACTTTAATGCTTCATTCCTCAATGCCATCTCTTTACGTATCGGTACTGACTCATTAGTTCGCATGCTGCTTGAGGACTGAGGACTGTTAAGAATGAAACTGTCGTCCCTTTGTCCGACTCTTCGATGCCGCTCGATTTCTCATTGAGTTTTGACTTCACACTCTCATTGGTTGGTTTCGCGACATTCAGATTGCCCAGCAACTTTCACATTGTCTTCACTCGCCTCACTTAGGCAGCATCTATGCACACAACGGCCAAGAATCACTCTTGAGCGCTGCGGACTTTGACCATCGTTCCGATGTATGGCATTCCGGCAGTGGAATATGGTGCCCTGTCCGTGCCTCACCCTCACTGTAAACAGAGACTGTGGCACAGTAATGTCCATTCTACATTAATATTGTCTTTAACCCTGGCGTGCACGTCAACGACAACTCGGACAGAACAAGATCGAGAAGGCAGCGCTCAGCCAGACAACTTCAGTGCGAGCAACTAACAAGTGACAACACACAAGAGCGCAATGCCCCAGAAGATTTAGCAGGGAAAATTGATTTACGCAAGGCAGGGGAGAACATGCTCTACATGGTTTTATGTTCCTAGTATGTATCTGTGGTCCCACTCTTTTTCTCATTTCAATTTTCAGTTGCGCTTATCGCAACCAGCCGAAGGCAGTTCAACTATGTAGTATGTAGAATTGGACAGTTGCCGCCGAAATCGGGTTCCCAATACACCGGCAACACATCACAGGTCCGCAGGGATGAGCCGGTCAGCATATGATTGCAGGTTGACGTGGTCGGGTCTGTGCGTTAGTTATGTTTTGGGACTTCATCATCCCGAAGCGATCTGTTCAGACATGCTTACGTATTGGCTCGCAGTGAATCCTTCGCGTCTAAGGCAGGGTACCGCTGGACAGGTGGTTTATTTCAGGGAGGAATTACGATGGAGTTTGGATGACTATAGAGTTACAATCCAGAGAATTGGGAGAGACTTTTGCGCGATCAAAAGTGCCAGCTGAGCAAGAGAAAAATAACTGGCGAAATAACTAGTGAATGCCGTCTGACGTGGCAAGTGCCTGCTACTCTTCCGACGTTGATATTTTCCTCGAGATTTCGGTTGAGCACAGAAAACGAAAACATCCAAATGAAGATAAACTTATTCCATAGTGCAGACATTAGGGAGGTGCGGGCGTATAGTGCACACGCCCAATACGCGCTCATACGGAACTGTTGGACATGACATAGTCATCAAACCAGGCATCCGCTGCGTCGAGTTCCAGAATAAGTACTTCACTGTATTCTCGGCATGCCAAGAGAACAGAAAAGACAACACATGTTACAATCGCGCCGGACACTCAGAGTGCGATATCACTGTGTCATTAGATATCGCACTCAGCTCACACATCATACTTATATACATTTCTGTGTGACGCAAATGAACAAAGGCTCAAACGTCAGGACAACAAGACTTCCCATAAAGGGAACAATAACCGCAACACAAGGGCATCGGAATGCCACTTCAACAACACATTGTTCTCAATGAAACTAGTGGACACCAAAAGGAGAACGTGTCTATGAAGAAGGCAGGGATCGAAGCCAGAGGGGCCAAAGGGGCCGAGAGTGAGCTAGGGAGGCTGCGGAGTCTGCCCTTCAGTTCCAGACGGATGAACCGCTGGAGTGAGCCTTGACATGCCAAGAATCCAAGCCGTTGCCGGATAGCGCGAGGGAGTGCACGAGAGTGGTCCAGAGACCAAATCCAAAGGGGACAGTGATTAAAGCCAGGAGGCCACCACCCAATGATCATAAAACCGCGGAGGGAAACTCGAAAGGATCCGGCGAGGTGAGTGAAAAAGAGGGGGCGTAGCCACCTTCGACTTGTAAGTGGCTCCACCCTCCCCGGGCATTCAGGAAAGCATGTGTTGCACCTCAATAACAACGAACGGTGGCTGAGTGGGGAGCATGGCTGAGTTGCGAGGTAGGACAAGATACGAGGCCGGAAAAGATGTCGGATTGATCGAAATTCTGAATCTGGAGGCCCAAAGAACGGAGGCAAGAACAACAGAAAAGGGGAGTTGAACGCCGGTAGCGAAGAAAATTGGATGACAGCCCGCCACGCCGGCGCTTACCGCCGGCTCTCGGTATGAAGCGATCGATGTTCCAGCGTCCAGTCAATTCATAGAGTCCTGTTGCAGCTCTTCTCTCGCAATAGATCAGCCATGACTTAATGTCATCGTCCGTCCCACTCCGAGTCGTGCCACCGTGCAATTCGCCGCTGATATTGGATTAGGTGTCCGTATGCTGTCGACCAATGTATATGCTATGCGCCTTCCTCATCCTTCCATAATCAGATAGAAGGCTTCGATCCAAGCTCAGAGCAATAAGTGACCAGCCTCTCTTTAACGGGTCAGAGCAGGTGGTCGAAAGCATAGGCAGGATACCACCCTCTACAGATGAGGTTGCCCTTTCGCATCATCCTTGCACGTTTGTAGCAATTGAATGCTTTCTGTTTATGGTAAGTTCGTGGGGAAGTATTCGACCCTATAAGCGAGCGGCTTATGTAACAAAGCGACAGATAAAAGACCCCTAGCTAGTAGGAGAGCGATCTTGTAATTTACACCTCCCTCTTTAGTGTAAATCGAGTCTTTTGGGTCTAGTGATCTCTTGAGTTAAGTTCACGATCTCTAAGCTCGTCTATCGGCCTTCGCCGATTCAAGGTCTCTCACAGACCCTCATATAATACATACTTAAACGCATGGACCTCTGTTCGTGATCGCCATCCACAAACCACAACTCGTTTCTTGCCTGCCACTATGCTAGGGGGCAGTAGCATCAAAGTGTTTTCTGGTTGGTTAGCTCCAGACCGTTGATAAGCGCTTGGGTCTCATCTTGAAAAAAAAATTGTTCAAGGCACCAGCCATCCTGAGATTGCAGAGCTTATCGCTCACAGGTGCGCGGAGCTTCACTTCTGTGGCTTTTCCCGCCTGATGATTGACCCCATTACAATCGCCAGAATTGGTCTACCGCTGTCGAAAGCACTGGTCACTCGCAATGGGGCCGGAGAAACCTCAGTCCGTCTCGGAGAGTCTGTTCGCGAGGCTGACGTATACATCGTTAACACTGGTTGTGGACCGCCTGGACTCTCTGTGAACGTTTCCCTCATGGAGCTGTGCATCATGATTCATGCTTGCAAGATTTCGAGTGCTAAAAGGATCACTGCCGTTATTCCACTCTTTCCCTATGCTCGTCAAGACAAAAAGGACAAAAGTCGTGCTCCAATAACGGCAAAGCTTGTTGCAAATATGCTGCAGAACAGCGGTTGCGACCACGTCATTGTATGCTATGCAATGCTTGTGGCTTTTCAGTGCGCTTTGACCATGTTCTGGTTTAGACTATGGACTTGCATGCATCGCAGATTCAGGGCTTTTTTGATGTCCCTGTCGACAAGTCTGTGTCATTTCCTCCCAATTCCCCTTCCTGCCGTAGAGCTGACGATCGTGATTGATAGTGTAAGCAATCGGTGTTTGAACATCATATCTCTCATTGTTGGCATAGTTATACGCCGAACCCTCCGTTCTCCACTATATCCGACAAAACTTCAATATCAAAGATGTAGTCATTGTCTCTCCAGATGCTGGAGGTGCAAAACGGTGCGTATATGCCTTACTGGGTTGCCGTTATTGGTTAAGCCCATGCGTGCTTCTGCTAGAGCCACTTCAATCGCCGATCGGCTCGGGGTAGATTTCGCCATATTTCATAAGGAGCGGAAGAAGGCTAACGAAGTCTCGCGTATGGTGCTCGTCGGACAATGCGAGGGAAAGATTGCGATCCTTGTCGATGATATGGCGGATACATGTGGTACCATATGCCTCGCGGCACACTATCTCGTCGAGGGTAAAGCTTCACGAGTCATCGCTATTGTAACACATGGAATCCTGTCCGGTGACGCACTCAAGAAGATTGAGGCAACAAAAGGTCTCGAAAAACTGGTGGTGACAAACACCATACCACAATGTGATAACCAACGCGCTTGCAACAAAATTGAAGTCATCGACATCGCTTCGGTCTTGGGTGAGGTCATTCGACGTAGCCACTACGGCGAGAGCGTCTCCAGACTGTTTCATGAAGTCCCCTACTAGATCATTTCGCTTGCTTTTTTCCATTACATAGTACATGTATAATCACTGGCCTGGATTGGTGATCATGACGAGACAAGTATCGGACATTGTTCTATACCAAGACCATTGAACAACGTATTCTTAAATTTTGAATTTCCAATGGCTTTCAAATATACTGGCTCCAAAAGCTTCTTGCTCTCCCGTTGAACAGCGCTCTTCAGTCATTTCAGTCATTGTCTGAGGCACTCGAAGTCCCTGGGATTAGTCGGGTTTATCGCAACTCAGAGTCATCCTGTCAAATGAATGATTCTGCGTATCATGGCTTGGCTCAGGCTCGATAAACGAAGCCAGTTCTGGGCCCTGTTACTCTTGGAACATCGTATGTACATGCTCTACATGCTCTGCTGGAGGTAAGTAAAGGGTGGTATTGTGAAGGGGGAAAGCTTGAACGGGGTAGACCTCACTTGTGGTCCATTCAACAAATTCAATATATCATTCCTTGGTGCGACGTTGCCGTGTGAATTCGGTGGTGGGATACCAGGGATAGGGAAAGGCATCAAAGGTTTAGTTCCACTAATCATTCTATAGTTGTTGGGTACGGGGTCAAGGCTTGGCTGCAACGGAATGGCTGGTTCTCGAGGCTGCGCCAGAATCGGATAGATTGGGAAGCTGGTAATGTGGCGAGGCAGGGTAGCGCCCATGTGTAGTGGAGATGGGTGCAATTGCGGCGCTCGTGGGGTAAATAGCTGAGAGGGTGAAATGGTGGGAGCTCGAGCAGGATTGACGACGAATGGCGAATCCTCGATGCGAGGTTGGCTGGAAGCAGAAGGATGCGGAGAGGACGACTTTGGCAATAACTGTGTGCTGAGAGACTGTAATAACGCAATACGCTGTGCCTGGCGATTTGAATGAGGGTCAGGAGACGCATTCGTAGTCGATTTTGCCCCGCTGGACACTGAGTTGGTCACCAAAGATGCCAATGCTTTCCTGGCATTTGAAATTCGTCTCGCCTCCACCGAAGGCGGAGCAAAGTGCTCAAGCGTCGAGGAGTCATTAGAGCGAAGGGCCGAGGGTGAATGTTGTGATGTGGAGGCTGTCGAGGTCAAAGTCGGAGACATTAGTGGCTTTGTTCCTACAGTACCCGGAGTAGGGGGCGCGGCGGGTTGAGCAGGCAATTCATTCGCATCCTTTGTGGAGCCAAATGCATCAAACGGGGAGATGAAATCGAATTTGAGCTTTGGTTTGGCACTTGGCGGACGTGAACACTCATTTGGGTTATCATCAATCTCCGAATTTGGCGGCGTAGGTGAGGAAAACGAGCCTTTGACATGTTCTTCAAACAGCGGCCTTGACGAAGCGGGTTTTAAATATTTTCTGGCAGCATGTACCATGGATGGGGTCGTCTGAGGTGTTGGAAGGGCGCCTTGTGTAGATGATGCGGTGACCGGAGACGGAGAATTAGCAGGAGCGGTCATATTCAATGAACCAAAGAGACGGGACAGGTGACCACTTTCAGGATTGTGAAGTGTAGCAGAAACGATTGCGGGGTCATTCAACCGGTGGTAAGTAGGGGCTACGTAATAGGACTGGTCACTAAGTGCTTGGGATGGTGGATGTTTTGCCGCCTCGGCAGCTCTTAATCGCTTGATAACTGACTTAAGAGGTCTGTAAAATCTCGTATCAGTAACCAGCCGAGTGAGTACAGACGAATCAGAGTGACTCACCCAACGAAAGAGGAGATTGCATAGAATTTGAAGGATGTTGGACTCTTTGTATTCTTTTTCCATGCAGGTAAATCAGATAGATTGAACCATTGAATTTTCTGCGGCTACCAGTTAAGAAGGGATACCATGGCCGAAACTCAGGGACACATACACTGATCTCCTTTCGAGTTTTGGTCTCAAACACTGTGTCCTCGGAGACATTGGGAATCACAAACAAGGATGTGCGCTGGTCTTTTACGGTTACCCGAATGACAGCATCAAGGTTGACCTTGTCCGAGATATCGTAACCAGTTTCTTCCATTACTTCACGAGCAGCACACTCGTGTTCAGGTTCATCAAGATTGATCTTTCCCCGAGGAAAGCTCCAAGCCGCGCTGGACTTCCACCCTTTCACCAATACACACTGGTAAAGGAGATTGAATAAACATGGGGGAAGTTGATCTCTCGGCACCCATCTTACCTTCGTCCATGACGGATCTATCATGATGGCACCACACACAGGGACCGTAGTCTTATATGCCATGAAATCCTGAAAGGCTTGGTCATGAGCAGGACTCCAATGAACTAGCAAGGGACATGATTGAAAGAGCATCCCAGAGAAAGTCTTGAGGGGGAGAGAAGGGAGGCTAGGCTCTTCATCGCGGATGTAATCCTCGTAGTACCAATGGCTGTAGATATGGATCAGTGAGAAATTGGGATTGTGACTATGGTGAAGCAAAGATATTCACGCCTGCTCGACCTGAAAGCATATCCGCTCAACTGACACGAGCTCCTCTTCTGGAAGATTGAGGATAAACCGACTGAAATTGGTACGGGAGGCAGATTGAGCGTAAGATAAGTACTAGGAGAGATAAAAAAAGCTAGACGCGCCTCGAAAGGTCTTCCAGAACGTCTTCGATGGAGATATTTTTGAAGGAGAAGTGCTTAGCTCGATCAGCATCTAACGTGGATGTTGATGCCTCGATTGATGAAGGCTCAAAAGGCGCCATAGCGCACAACGACAGCTTCAACAGATGGGAGAAAAGGGAAAAGAAAGAAACGGAGACTTAAGTTCGAGAGCTTGAGGAACGCGAAACGATGGTGGGTTTGAGATGTTGGTGGAAGCTTACGTAATCCGGCGTCTCTTTTAGTTCCCACGCATCGTGCTGGACAAAGAATCCTTTGCTCCTTCTCCACTCCTTCTCCAGGACGGTGTCGTGGTGTTCTGCATGAATGCTGACTTGTGGAACCTTCGCTGATGTCTCTATTGCCGAGCCGTGAATGGCTCGAGGTTGATGGTACTGCGCGCGCACTCTAAGCTACTTGCTCGTCTTGAGCCGCTATCGGATTCCATTCCAACCCCCCGAGATCAATACTTTCCATCTCATTTTTCGGTGTAATACACCAACCACCCATTCTTGGAACCCTCTTAACCCCGCCAGTGACGATCCATGGTGTACTGCTTTCTCCTCAGGGCGGGATTGCTGAGCTTCCTGAAAATAAAACGTCGATAATAATATCCCCATCGCCACAATCCAAAGCGCCTCTAAAAGGCCCGGTATCCTCTGTATGGCATCCATCGGATTTTCTCCAGTGATATCTTGGGGACGGAGTTGTTCCCCCAACCCAAGAACATCCTGCACCAAGCCATGGCGAACTTCCCTGGCCCAGTTGAAGACGCGTCCGATTTGATATCTCACAAACGCGTCACGGCGTCTTGTCGCTGTTTCAGCCAATGCATGTTCCAGAGCTCTAAATCGCGCAAGGGATGCCTCAGCTTGGTCTGGGAGCCAGGTATCCTGTGCATCATAGTTAATTAGAAACCCTTCTCTGTACGCTTCCCGTGCACTTTGGAAGTGGGGTAGCGGTCCTGTGGGGAACGGATTTGGGCCATATTTCATGGAGATGTAGCGTAGAGCGCAGTGACCCTGCAAGAACGTAGCAAATGACTAATAATCGTTCTTGTAGTCAGCAAGCATAGTCGTACTGCGGCATTGTGGGCTACTGACATCGCGTCGCTTATGCCTAAGTTGGTGCTATTTGACTATGCCCTCCCGCAGCACTGTGAGAAAGGGACTCACTCTGACTCATTGCAGCGGGCAGGAGCGGAGCTCAGGGCCACGAGATTGTACAACGCAGCCGCATTGCTTATAAATCCAAAAAGTAAACCTTACAACTCATCTTGCGAGAATTAACTGATTGCGGGCCTTGCAATATATAGTCAGAGTGAATCCAACACGAAAATATATGCACACGCGAAAGAAATCCAAATTGACAGGAAGACGTCACGACAACGCACGGCACGAAGCCCACCGGTTGTACCACACGAGCCAACCGAAGCACGGAAGAAATCATCCCATCCTTCCGCTCTCACAACAACCGGATGCGGTTCGGTGCCTCCTCATTTTTGATTCAAGTCACCAACAGACAGATAATGAGAGGGTGTACTACGAAGGCAAAGGAAAACAACGTATAAGACATGGAGATCGGTTTCAAAGGATAGATAGGCTGAGTCACCATAGGCTTGCGGTGCAATCGCTAGTCCTCAAGCCATGCCAAGAGAATTTTTGATCCGGTGCCAAGAAAAACCAGAAAGGAATAGATGACTGAGACTGATCGAAGGGAAAGTCAGGTTAGCGAGGTTTGTTACTTAGCGTGTAAGTGAACAATCCTAATGAGAAACTGGAGGGGGGGAGGGTGAATTGGAGCCAGTCCGTGAAGTACGGTGGATAACATGTGTAAAGTTATGGATTAGCTAGGGTTTATACTTCAGCGTATGAGTAAGCGGCAGCGGACGTTTGATTAAACAGTCCTGATGGGGAACTAGAAGGGGTTGAAGGAGCAGGGTGGGTGTCGTGCAAGGTTACGTTGTCGTTGAGCGGTGGCGGATGATATTGTACCCATCTACATCAGGTGTACAGTAATTTAGAACGTGTTTGTTGCAGGTTCAAACATTCATCGTGCAGATACGAAGATATTTAAGGCTGCCGCCGCGCCTGTAGGCAGGATCCCAGCCTCTACTAAAGTAGACCGCGAGGTCATTCCCGTCATTCCCGTACAAGAAACAATACAGAGGGGGGTGGTTGTGGAATTGACTAATGTTTTGATGGTGAATAGTCGAGTGTTAGGAACGGTGGGGACATGCAGTAGTTCCAATCACAACAACATTCAGCCAACTACACGATGTGTACATAGTTCAGGTCAAACTAAAGAGCGGCGCCGAACCCCATTAATTCGGTTATAAATGCCTAAAAAGACGGACAGAGACGGTACGCCAGTGAAACCATTAACAAGGTCGGCGCGTAGGGCCTATACATCACAACCCGAGGTATCCTGGCTCCTGGAAGTTGGACAAGTTGGACACCATTATGCACTATAATTATATTTACCTAGCATGTTACGCCAGGCTACAGGTTCCAACAAAGAACACTTCGACAAGAGAAGGGGGAGCGGCTTTCTCTCCTCAGTTCTGTTGTACGCAAACTGAGGAAAGATCTAAAACCAAACAATTCTGCTTATAAGCAGGTGAAGCACAAGAATACCAAGAATAGACGTTTAATGCCGCAAGCTCAACAACATGAGTCGTCACAGCATATGTTAAAGCCAAGATTTCGAACTTCATATCATATTGGAGCCTCACCACTAGATGACGCGATTCGAAAGCTGTATTCTGCTAAGCCATTTGCAATGTTCTTCATGAAGTGCCGCAATCACGTTGTCATCTTCCGTATTCCCACCTACAGGTCCATAGAAGGCCTCGGTGCCTTCATCATCCTGATAGCCCTTAATCCCTGACGAGCGCACATCAAGTAGACCCCTTGCATGAGCATCCTTGAGTCGCCGACATGGCACGACTTTGTACGTCCTCATGTATTGTCCTGACTTGAAACCTGGACAAGCGCGGTAGCCATGGGGATCCACCGTGACGAGGAGTTCAGCCAGAGGACCGCATGTCCGTTGCGAGGCTATGTATTTGTAGAGCTGGATGCTGGTGTAATGGCTAAGGTAAGGCTTGACACATTTGTATGCACTGGGCCCAACCTCGAGGCATAGAGTAACCGTTTTTATTCGAGGAAATTGAGCCACCTTGTCTAAGATCTCGTGTGGCTGAATTTAAATTTGACCATTTCAATCGTTCACAACCGGAGAATGAATGTTTCTCGCACATACCCAATCTCCATCGCGATTGATGTCAATTAGGAGCTCTTCCAGGTGTGGACAGCCCGCACAAATTTCATCGAGCTGCTCTGGGGAAAGAACTGATCGCGACCACACATTTCCGCGGTTGTAGAGCCTGAGCCTTTTGAGCGAGCGGCCAAACCGGGCAAAGATAGAGACAGGGATATCTCCAGTAAGTTCCTCAAGGTCGAGCTCCTCCAGGGCAGAAGGAACCTCGCGAAGGAATTCAGCAATGCGGCGTTTGACTCCCAAATGGTCTTTACTCAAAGGGGGAGCTCGACCCATCAGCTTGATGGAACGAAGGGAGTGCATTTGATCAACCACGTCAAGGAGGATGTCAGAAAAGTATGCGAACTGTAATTCTATGAGGCTATTCCATGGGATACCATGACGCCACGATTCCTCGATGTGAATACTGTTGACAGAAAGTCTCCGAAGGGAGGAGAGGATTTGTCCTTCCCCAAGTGTGCGTTTGCGCACCATGCCAGGTACAATATGACAGCTAATTGTTTTGGCATTAGAAAAGGAATGACAAGAAGATAACACAACGAACCGAAGGTCCGTCAGATATATCATGCGGGGAAGCAGATCCAGGGTCTTTTCTAGAATTCGCCTCTCCACCTCCTCAGCGTCCTCCCCAATCACGTAGGAAGGATCAATGATTACTTTTCGGACGTATGAGAGGAGTGATGGGTTGTCTTCTAATCGCTTGAGGAGGTGGAGTTCAAACTCCGGCGCTCCCCTGCCCCATTGGCAGCCACATATTTGAATGACCCGAAACCGG